TCAATATCATTGGAAAAGAGAGAGAGAGAGAGAGAGAGAGAGAGCTCTAGACTGAAATAGTTTGGTTGGGAATCTATGTAAAGCTCTCATAACGTCAGCAAAGATTCTCTAATTTTATTTGTCATATAAACGAAACGAAACACAATATTTAGTATTGATTTGTTGTAGACTTAAGTGTTGTGTTTACTCTATAATACATTTGCATTACATTTGTATCGCATATTAAATCACAATTCATTAGATTTGGATCCAAATTAAATCACTAAAAGAAATCACAGAGAAATCGGATTAAATATAGTAGAGGTGGAGTGGAGGTGATAGATCACCTATACTGTTGCAATGGACCCTGAAGCATTCTTGGAGATGGCCAATCAGGTGACCAAACTTCGGATGTACCCGTACTTCGAGGTCGCGCACGCAGTCATCTCTTGCCTATACATCCGCGAAGACCTTTCGGCCGGTAAGCCGTCCCTTAAGACCGATATATATTTGACATTGAATTGAATGCAAATGTGATGAATGCGTGGATGTATTGATGTATTGCTAGGATGTGTGGCCTTCTCTCGGAAGCACCCGTTCTCGTGTTGGGTCTCATGTATGGTCTCTATATTTGCGGGCAATATATTGTCGAGCTTTTTGTTGGCCGAACCTATTTTAGGCGCTTTCAAAAACACCAATCAATTGCTTTTGGCGACAGCCGTCTGGTATGTGACCAACAATTTTGTGCAATTTATTAGCATTTCATATGAATATTCTCTAATTGATTGATAGGTATCTAATGTTTTACTCGCCGTTTGACATAATATACAAATTATGCAAATTATTGCCCATAAAGATAGTGTTCGCTTCCATGAAGGAAGTGATTCGATGCAAGAAAGTCAGCGATGGAGTCCTTCACGCGGCAAAGCTATACCCCAACGGCTTTCTCATTATGATTATCATCGGAACCATTAAAGGTATGACTGTTTATGCAATAATTAATGCACTCATTTGTAGTAAATAACGAGAATATTGTTTGCAAATTCAGGCAATGGATCAGCTTTTCTGAAATTAATCGAACGAACACTTCGAGGAGTTTGGACACCAAATGCCATTGAATTCCTAGCGCCGACTTTGTATGAAATGCTTATTTTTGTTGTAAATATAAGATAATAATATGAGTTGTATTGTGTGTTTGTGGTGACAGTGCGACCAAAGCAAGTATCGCCGCATCTATTATATTCATAATAGACAAGAAGACAGACTGGATATCAGCGCCGCCGGCACTCGTCTACTTTGGAATCGTTATATTCTTTGTGTACTTCAAGTTGTCGTCAATGCTATTAGGAATTCACGACCCATTCATCCCATTCGAGAACCTTTTCTGTGCCCTCTTTTTCGGAGGCATTTGGGATGCGTTGGGAAGAGTTATATCCGGAGGTAATACTAATCAGTTGATTGATATGACCACAAACTCATGAGTTTACCTATTCGTTGATATTTTAGTCAAAGGAAACAGTGATTCTAACTCGAAGAACGAGATGTCGCGAAACGGAAAGTCGGAAACTGCCAAAAAGAAAGACCAATAACTGAACCCATATTCTCATCACTAGTCACCCGATTTAACAGTCCTTCACATACTTGTCGTCACTTCTAATATAATTAATTCATTTGAAAAAATCATTAGATTTGAAAGGATTAAAAAATACTTAATACTTAAGTTAACTAAAACTTAAAATAATTACAATTAGACATAAAAACAATTAATCAATTTTAATGATTAAGACGTTATGTTTTAAATGATTTCGCCGCTAAATGACAAGAACTTTGTATTCATTAATTACATTATTTTACAACATATGAAACGTTAGAAAACATGTTAACTATTAATTAATACAATGAACAAAGTTTGAGAGCACAGAAAGTTATGTGTCTTAACAATCGAAAACTTAATAATACTCTCAAAATGTTGTGTTTTTGATGATATAATTATTGAGAAAATATACTCTATTTTATGATTATTTGCTTTGATTTAAAATTTATATGAATTAAAACTATCATAATTTGTAGACATTTGTAGACATCACATGTAGTGTTCAGTCAAATAGTCAATAGTGTTCAGCACTTTATCGTTAATAGGCTATTGGTTTTTAACGATTTGTTCACAATTCTCAGAGTTGTTATATTTTGTAGAATTGATCCAAAAAACTAAGCGCTCAATAATTGACGGATTGTTATAATACTGAAAATATATTTAATAAAAAGTATTCTATAATTAAAATGAATTCATTTGTCGTCTCAAATGACAGCGACGGCCGCTTCGGAACGACTGGTCGGAAGAGGAATGCTTTCATTCCATTTATTCGATTCCGGATCAAAGATATCCACAGAATCTAATGTTACGGGAATAGAGAATTCGTCGCCAGAGGTTTTGCCCCCGAATACGAGCAGACATTCATTGACAGCACAGGCACACGAAGAGATGCGCGGTTTGGGGGTGTTTGACACTCGCGACCATACATTCTGTTAAGTGACAAACAAATGTCAATGCATTCAAATCGGCAAACAATTTGTGGCAAAACTCACTTCATTTATGTTATATCTCTCGACACTGGAGAGGGCGGCGTTGTTATCGTTAGTACCGCCGACAACGTATATCATTCCGTGCAAAACAGTGCACCCAAAGTAAGCCCTGCTTTGAATCATATCACATAAACTCTTGAATTCATGGGTCACTGGATTATAACTAATAACACTTCTTAAAACCCGATTCTGTTCGTTAAAGCCTCCGATGATATAAACGAGTCCCTCGACAGCGATCACTCCCATCGCGAATCTAATATCGGGTAACTTATCGTAAAAATTCCATTCATTAGTTATGGGATCGAAGCGCTCAATACTATTGCCCACAAGATTGCCGATCCAACCGCCGAACGCGTATATGTATGAGTCGACGGCACACATGCCGAAGCAGGACCGGGGCTGACGCAGACTCTTCCCTTTTGTCCACTCATTGTTCTGCGGGTCATAGACTTATACGGGAATAGAGAATTCGTCGCCAGAGGTTTTGCCCCCGAATACGAGCAGACATTCATTGACAGCACAGGCACACGAAGAGATGCGCGGTTTGGGGGTGTTTGACACTCGCGACCATACATTCTGTGAAATGACAAACAAATGTCAATGCATTCAAATCGCTAACAAGTTGTGGCAAAACTCACTTCATTAATGTTATATCGCTCGACACTGGAGAGGGCGGCGTTGTTATCATTAGTACCGCCGACAACGTATATCATTCCGTGCAAAACAGTGCACCCGAAGTAAGCCCTGCTTTGAATCATATCACATAAGCTCTTGAATTCATGGGTCACTGGATTATAACTAACAACACTTCTTAAAACCCGGTTCTGTTCGTTAAAGCCTCCGATGATATAAACGAGTCCCTCGACAGCGATCACTCCCATCGCGAATCTAATGTCGGGTAACTTATCGTAAAAATTCCATTCATTAGTGATGGGATCGAAGCGCTCGATACTATTGCCGACAAGATTGCCGATCCAACCGCCGAACGCGTATATGTATGAGTCGACGGCACACATGCCGAAGCAGGACCGGGGCTGACGCAGACTCTTCCCTTTTGTCCACTCATTGTTCTGCGGGTCATAGACTTCAACGCTGTCTAATATAAGAGAATCGCATTCACCGCCCGCCGCATACAACTGGCCGTTCAGTACTGCTATGCAATGACAACTACGAGGATATTGAAGAGTGGGTAATGCCTTCCATTGGCCCCGAAGTATATCTAATCGTTCGGTGATAGCGACTGGCTTTGAATCGTTCCAGCGATGGGTCGACTGATGCATACCTCCGATGACGTATATGTATTTGCGAGCGTTGATCCTCGGCTGCCATCGAACCTCATAGAAGCCATTATTAACTAAACTGTTGTGACAATTAATGGCAATTAAGTTCAATTTCTTATTCTTCTCAATCGTTTCGATGGCCTCCTTATGGCTGTGAAGAACT